CCTTGTCTGATTCCTCGTGTTCTGATCTTTGCCTGTGCACTTTGGATTACCTCTCTCGTCTTACCCTATTCGGATACTGTTTGCCCCTGCCTGGACCTTTGCTTTGTACCTGGATTATCTCTCTAGTCTCGCCCCATTGGATTATGTTCGTCGTCGATTGACCCTCACTGTTTGGACTGCCCATGCCTTGTCTCTTACATACTGTTTGCCAATGCCCCTCATGTCAAGCCCTCTGGATATTGTTAGCCGCTTATCGACCACGCCCGTTTTGGATTACTCTGCTGTCTTGCCCTCAATATACCTGTTTGCCAATGTTTGATTTATGCCTGTTTCTGACCACGTCTCCAGAATAAAGCTTTTCACATGGATCCGCACGTCTCGCATCTCGTCAGCCCCGTAACAGTGTACCTCCTGAAGGGGATTGCAACATTGGATGGTTGAATGAGGTCTAAAACTTTGCCTTGAAGATGTTGCCTCCTCTATCAACACCAAATCTTCTTCCTGCAAACAGAAAAGAAAAATATTATGTTGTACTGATAGGATTCTAGGCTGTTGGGAGTAGTCACAAATCAAAACACCCCTTAGAAGTCAGGAGCATATTGAAATGTGGAAGTTAGTTCATTAAAAGGTCTTCAAAGCAAAGTCTCTGCAAGGCTACAGTGGTACTGGCTGACAAGTCCTGAATATCAATCATTACTATTGAAGTAATACGTTTTGCAATTGTCATTGCACAGGTCTTAAAGATAGTACAAAACAAACCTGTTATTAAAATGCACAATACACAGTCTTGTAGACTAGGTTGAAGTCAGAATGTACAGACATCGGTCCCAAATTGTATTTTAGAAAACTTTGAATGGCAAACTGTAACATTACGTGGCGTGGCATGATTTTGAACAGCTGTTGGGTGCCATGAATAGACTTGAGTGTGCATACGGTCATAATTTATGAATCATAACTTACACCTTTAGTTTCACTCAGCGAGTGAAACACAGTAATGACCACCAGGTTGCTAGGCTTGTATATATACAGTCAAAGTGTAGATGAATTGCATCAATCTAATTATAATCTATAAGGCCTTTATGCTGTAGAAAGAGGAGCATAACTCAAATCTACCTTGGTATAACTGTACTGAGATTTCTTCGTCAGAAACAATTGAAACAATACTGCAATTTTGTGATTTCTTCAAAGTGTGTGGTCTCGCGGTCTGGTAGAATCGTCTGTGTGCATTCCGAGGATTATAAGGCTAAAAATCACATGGTTGCTCACAAGTGCTCACATGGTTTTAAAATCAGTTAAGGTTTTAAAATTGTCTAGTGTGTGGCTATGGAGTTTCTTTTGTGTCTTTTTTTATTCAATCAAGCATACTGTGTTTGAGAGCAAAACTAATTATTTTGTAATTAAAAAATAAAAGATTGCAAAAAAGTCTTCTTAAGGCTCAAAAATAAAGAAATTGAAAACAAAATAATTTGCAGTGCGTGTAAATCTTTGAAAAATCTTATTTTTCTTTGTGCACTTCAGACACTGTTCTGTTGTTTACATTTATGAATCATAACCTGCCAGATGGGCTAGTGATTTGATGTGCATTACCCACCTGACTTCACTGGAGCTATAATAATCTATAATCTCTGAAAATATTGGCTTGACGCTTTACTATTGGGGACTTTGTCAGCTAGCTATACTGTTGGCTAATCAAATCTATTCAGACGGGCTTAGCTAACGTTATGTATTTATATGGGAGAGCATGAGAAGAGAGATTAATTAAGTTCACTTGTCACTGAGTTTAAGATGTTAAGTTAGTTATCTTACCCAGTAAACGGCCTGTTGCTCGCCATGATACAACCTCGCTCGCTCTTCTGTCAGACTGGCGGCCGGCAGTGGCGGGGG